AAACACATACAGTTAGTCCCCCGCACCTCCACTCCTACACACACACACACACACACACACACACACACACACACACACACACCCTGCAGACTTCTGACCTTGGTTAAACAAGCAAATATTAGGTTGGGCTACCACTTCAGACTATTTGAGTCTGTGAGAAGGGTACGTCAGCGTAATTCCCACAGAGTTTGCTTGGTTCCCATCCAGTTCCTGGTTCATGACAACAAATGAAGCTGGATGTTGGGACTATTTCTGGATTGCTGTGGCTGTTTTCTGGAAATTAGTAAATGGAAAACAGATCAGGCTTCACAAAGACGGATATAATTGATAGGCAATCTCAGTGCTGCAGATCAAAATACCTTAAACGCTATCACAATCTGTAAAAATGGCCATTAGCTGTCCCTAGGAGTGCTTGGAAGAACCTCTCTTTGCCCTAACAGAGCAGCAAACTCATTAAAGACCACTCTCAGCGTATTCATCAGTTGTTGTTGTCCGGGAGGCCCTGTAGGGCAGCAAAACGCCAACCACCAAGGACAATGTCCACCCTACAGCTATCATTATATATTTATATATATATATTTAACAGAGGTGTGGACTCGAGTCATTATTTTAATAACTTCTGACTCGACTTGATAAAATCTATAAAGACTTACAACTTGACTCGGACTTGAACGCCAATGACTTGATGATGACTTGCATCTGTTGACTTGATGATGACTTGCATCTGTTGACTTGATGATGACTTGCATCTGTTGACTTGATGATGACTTGCATCTGTTGACTTGATGATGACTTGCATCTGTTGACTTGATGATGACTTGAGCATATTTTAGCACAAAGCAGCACGACATGGACAAAAATCGTGAATCATTCTTGGTTCTGGGTTTGATTAACTGCTAAATGCAGCAGCTCTTTGTTTATAACCTGTTGCAGTTGCTCTTTCTGCTTGTTTGAGCAAATAAATGAAGCTTTAAGAAGTTTTAATTCTGGAATTTATTATCATCGTCATTAAATTGAAATTTGACAGATGACTTGATTATGACTTGAAAATTCAAAGTTAAGGACTTGGACTTGACTTGGACTTCCAGATCATTGACTTTGGACTCGGCTGGGACTTGGTTGTCTTTGACGTGGACTTGACTCGAGACTTGACTGGAAAGACTTGTGACTAACTTGTGACTTAAAAAAGCTGTGACTTGGTCACACCTCTGATATTTACAAACAAATCAGCTGTGTTCACGATCTCCAGTTCCACCATTTCAGCTCCTCTCCACTCCACCAGCAGGCAGAGGCCCGGCAACTCTGGAGTTGCAAGTGCGGTATTCTGGCCACAGAGGGTAGTGGGGTCGCCGTGACGTTTCATGAAAGATCCTTTTAGCACATCCTGGCTCAAGATACTGACTCAAACTTATGAAAAAATCTTAAAGTATGCCTTCAAATTTTCAAGCTGAAACATTTCATCTAATGACTAGTCAGATTTGACAAAGCCATGTGCAGAGTAGCACACACACACACACACACACACACACACACACACACACACACACACTCACTAACTTTTCCTGATACAAATTTGTTTTTGAGCTGAAACTCAAGAGTAAATCATCTATTTGTCACAATAATTAAAAAAAAAGTCTCTCTCTCTTTCCCAAGAGAACAAAACAACTTAATTTACACAAAAACACATTTCAGTTCATTTATTTTATGATTATATCCGACGTGAAGTACCACAAGAAGAAGTAGCTGCAAACAAAATCCTACAAATGAAGGCAGACTGAAGCCGGGCAAATGCTTGTAGTCACTTGGTGATTCATCCACCGGGGCCATGTCAGCCTCCTATATGTTGTCTAGGCCTCTGGGCAGCTCACTGATTCTGTTTCACTGGCTGAGCCTGTTTACCTCTCCGTCTGTTTTTAGATACTTTGGGAGCACAAAGGGAAAATGTGGGATGAAACTCAACAATACATGTGAACAGGAAGCACACGATGGAAAGAAAACGTAACAAAACTAGTGGGACACGGTTGCAGGACACCCTGTGATGTAAAGAGGCTGAAAAACGCCATAAAATGAGTCCATTATTGATGTTCTCAGACCAAAGCTCTGCATGGACTGAAACAAGCACCGTGAAACGTTGGTGGATCTCTGTTGAAATCACGTCTTTATGATGCGTCTTCTGATATTCAAAGGAGTTCAAATGAAGGCAACTGGACTTTGGCTTCTTGAAGAGATTTCACTTCTCATCCGAGGAGCTTTGCCAGTTCTGATTGGAATATGGGAGAGTCAAGTTTATAAGCTCTGGCTGTATACTGTTGGTTAACAAGCAGAAACTACTTATGAATGCCCCTCCTCCCTGCTCCCAGATGAGTCGTTAGTCTCTATTGTGTGGGAGTCGTTGTACTGATTAGATGCATGAGGGTAGGACCTAGACTGGAACTGTTTGGGAGTTAGATTCAGAGCTGCGTTGTAAGTGCTGGACAGGTGAAAGCTGTGGCCTCCTCCTCTGTAGGTTTTTCCCATTTGACATCGATAGCTTCCTTTACTCCCCCCTGGAACCATCTATCTTCTCTGTCCAGCATGTGAACTTTGTCATCTTCATTTGAAGCCCTTGACCTGGATAAGTGAGAACCGTCACCAGCTTATCTTCTAACAGTCCATCAGTTACTGAGGAAAATCCTTCAAAGTTTATAAGGTAGCTTTTCCTACAAAAGTACACATGCAGAGTTTAAATGTGTTGTGGTGTTACGGTTCAGACAACACAAAAACAGTTAGATGTATGTTGTAATAAAAGTTGTTGGGTAAAAGGTTAGGGTGTGGATGCTTTACTCACGATGAGGAAAAAGGCAACAAAAGTGTACCAGAGCTTTTATAAAACTCACATAATTCATGTTTTGAGGATTTATTTAAAATTTCTGGTAAAAATCTCTATTTAAAAAAAACAGCAACATTTTATTAATAAAAAAATTACTCCCAGTTCTTCTAGGTGGCCTCTTAGCCCTTTCGCTTTGTCTAAAAAGCCAACTTTAGCTTTAATTTCTTGAATTTTTAGCACAAAAGCACAAGATGTTTCCTCTTACGTGGCTGACTGGACACAACTTATTAACTTTTGTTTTTCACCAAAAATCTGCCCATAAAAGCATAATTTACTACTTTGTTGTCTTCAGATGTGCCAAAAAGCTGCAGTCTAACTTTGGGTTCATGTGTTTTAAGTCACACCTCTGATATTTACTAACAAATCACCGTTTGGATCATTTGTGCTGCCATGTCTACTGCCTCTATAAACACTACAAAAACCCATCCAGCCCTGTTCTGTCAGTGTTTGGTTTTAGGACTGATTTGCTTTGAACAAGCAGTTTCAAAAAGTTCCCTTTTGTGATGTCACAATGGGGAAATTAGAACAGAACCACCTCCCCTGTGCAAGAGAGAGTTGTTGCTTGAAGAGTACCGGCTGTACTAGCCCTTCCCATACATCTGAGCTTCTTAACTTTTAGAAGCCTACAGCTGGATTCATCTTCTCCGTCAGCTCCAACAGGGACAGACACGCACGGATCGATAGAGGCATTTTGCTCTCATACTTCTCCATCTCCTGGGGAGTGTTGCAAAGCAATTCCCCGCCAGGACAGCAGAGGGCGTAGCGCTGTTCTGTGGTATCCTGTCATGTATCGGTCCAGGATAGTGTGTTTATATTGTGTTTTTTGTATATAAGAGACTTTTTAACACGGACATATTCGTCTCTCATCCTCCTCCACCTCTTCATGCGCTCCCCACCTCTAAACCCACGTTTCCTGTCATTTCCGTCCACAGATAAAACGCTTGCTGCGAATCTTTTCACTCCTCCAGTCACGGAGAATTAAACGTTCATGTTTTTAGAGTTTTTTTCGCGAGGTATTCTTCAAGCTTCTCCGTGTCTGCCGCTAGTTATCCGCAGCACTCTTTATGTTGTTGAGGGCTCAATGGCGGCGGTGTAGACGACAGCGGCGCCCTGACCAATCACAAGCTTGTGTTCTCTGTCTCGACAGACGGATTTTTAGAAAAGGGAGCTCGACTCCGTCTGTCCTTGCGGGGCTCTCCAGCAGGCCCGCAAGGACGGATAATGGCGTTGCGTGTCTCCGCACTGACGCAGAAGCGTGACCCAGGCTTAAGGGAATGGGTAGGCGTGGCCAGCTCCAGCTTGTTTTCTTAAAGTGATAGGAGCACTGAAACGGCCAATTCTGGAAGGTATTGAAAACTTCAAGGATAAAACTGCTGGAATAACTTTATGTGGAAGGGATTTCATGCTAAGAACTCCATAAACATGTTTCTTATAACTTAAGAAAAACAGTTGGAAAGTGTCTCCTTTAAATAAATGAAGCAAAACCTACAAAAGATGCACTGAATGACATTTCATTCCCTAATATAATTATCTGAATAAAATATCCATGAATTCTTTATTACTTCCTTCTGCCTGTTGGAAAGCCATTCCCAATCATACCGTTTACTGTTATGAGCTCGTGTGAATGTCTGTTATTACCCACAGCAGCAACTGCAAACAAACAACTCCTTCATATTTCCTAATTGAATCCCACAACCGATCACCGATGGGCAGGGAAAACAGAACGCAGCAACAGCCGGTGAATCAAAAAGCGCTGAAGTGGGAATCCAGATCCTTTTGCGATAAGCGAGTGAGTGAAATCTGGCGACTGACATGGGAAAGCAGAAGTGGCTGTGTGGGCTTTAACATGATGACGCTCAGAGCTCTTTCCCCTGGAGGATAATGGGCTGAAAAGTGGAGAGACTGAACACAAGGAAGGCACACAAGCAACAAGGCTTTTCCAGAGGCGAGCAGTGTTTCCTTCTTGTCCCTCGTCGCGCACAGAATGAACATTTTTTTCAATTTGAGGGGGACAGTTGGGAGACAAATAGCAGAAGAAAGAGCAGTTGCAGGTAAGATTTAAGATCACTTATTTACCTGTGTCTATAGCTATGTTGCTGGTATTTATTTATCCCTAACAAAAGGATAAATCAACTGAATAATTTAGGTGTTTTAGATGTTTGTAAAGCTTTGATCTGATTCTAACACGTCCTGATGGTCTCAGCTAAACAACTGTCTCTTCACTCACTTGAGGTGAAGTTGTACTTTCATCACCACCTGATGACTCTCCGACCGATGAATATATGTGGAATCTTTAGATTAAATAAAAATTATTATTTTAGATAAAAAAAAACAGAAGATGCTTATTTTAGCTGCAACCCAACAGAAAACCAGGCTGCACCAGACAAGCTGGACGAAACCCTGAAAATGTCTCATTTTAATCTTTTTCATTTCACTAAAAGCTGTTTTCTAATGAGAGGATCGATTTTTGTCATCAAACGCATCATTTTTATCAGCATCACATCAAGTTTGTCCGGTAGATGGCGAGACGCAGAGGGTGACTTCAGGCTGAGAGATCCGCAGCTTCCACCCCTGCTGTGTCTGCTCAAGAGACGCAAAGATGCTGATGCTGGACGGGAGCACGGCGCGTGAGGGGGATGCTTTAAGATGCTAGCGCGACGGACGCCACCAGCGGTGCCTTGTAAGCCGGGAGCTGTTATGTAAGAGCAGAGGAGAGCCACGGGGATCCTCGCGAGCTAATTAAAATATTCATTGTTTCATCCGACAGCTGCGCGCCAGGTTAACGCGTGTAATCCTTCCGCTAAGTAATGTAGTTCGTCAACGCTAGCAAACAAAGTTGTTGCTAGGCGACAGTCAATGGCGCTTTCACGGGTCGCGCGCGCGTATTGATACGTAAGTTAGCTTTCAGGTGTGCGGAAACTAACGCCGCTTTGGGAGGGGGTTAGCCAATCAGCTCGGTGTGTTGGGGGTTATGTTGAACTAAAGCTGTAACCCATCGTGCGGACTGGCTTTTAGTAAAACGAGCAGGTAGCTGACCGACATCTTTCGGCCGAGCCGAGCCGGACGCGTTTGCTACAGGTGTTGTGCTGTAAAAAGTTCCCCCGGAGCAGGCTGTGGGCCGAGCCCCGGAGGCGACTCCCTCCCCCTCCCCTCCCATCCCTCCCCCTCTCATCTCCTCCCGTCGTTTAACTGTCACGTGTTAATGATGAGAGAGCTCTCGTGGGGTCTCGTTGATGGAGAGCACCCCGTGCCGCACAGCCGGTGGTGTGTGCCCACTTCATGGAGGCTGTCTAAGCCCAGCCGGTGTTTACGGGACCTCGGCCAGGAACGGGAACGCAGCCAGGTAAACAGAGTTAAGGTGGCATGTAGCGTCACTCACAGGTGTGTGTATTTATGTTCTCTAAATAATAATAATAATACTGATAATAATAATAATAATAATAATAATAATAATAATAATAATAATAATAATAATGATAATAATAATAATATAATAATAATAATGATAAGAATGAAAATTACAGGCAGTGAAGATCTATTATGCTTTTTCATACCAATACAAATATTGTAATTATGTTTCAAATGTCTTTGTTTTCTTCCTAGTTTTATCATTCTTAAATACATTTTGGGTTTTCTGTGGAGACTCAGTTGTGTGAAAACAAGCTTTGTTGTGATAAATTCAGAGTAGGCCACTGATGGTTTCAACAAAACTCAATACTTAATTGTTCTCAAAAACTTGCATGTGTTTGCTATTTTATGACAACTTTTTGACAAGAACTGCAGATTATCAGGCATCACTATTCATATACTTTTTATCTTCCAACATTTTATTTTCCCCTGCTCCTGATTTGTTTGCCCCATCGGCTTGCTGGCCTTATGTGCACCAATTCTGGTTTTAAGATTCTTTACTGATTACTTTCGATTTATCCCAAAGAACTATTATTATGGTTTATATATATATATATGTCTGATTTACTTGTGAATTGTGAATCTGGAAGTAAAATGTACTTAACCCTTTGATGCATAATGGTCACAACAGTGGACAGGTATTCAAAATTAGTATTTATTTATTTTTGCCATTAAGCACAACTGTTGAAGACTTCATTGCATTTGAGCCCCTCCATTTGGACTTCAGTAAGTCAAGCCAACATATTTCATGTTCAGAATGTATGCTGTCCACTGAGGTGGACATGTAATAAATTATTTGTAAATTATAAAAATTTACAAAAAATATTTGTTGAAATTTGTTTCATCCACACCTAAAGATGAATGGAAAAAAGTTACAAAAATCATGGTTGAAGATTTCATAATTCATGCATCAAAGGGTTAAGACCTATATTGTTACTGTGAAGTAATAAGTAATGGTGTGTTCACTGACTCCCAAAAATCAGATTTTTTGGATTTCACATTTGACAATCAGATTAAGGCGTGCCAAAAACTAGCAGATTTTTAAATATGGGTATTTTGTCTCTAATTATGAGGAATAAAGAGCAACTCTTGCACATTTCAACAACATCATTTCTAATACTTAATGTTTTCTGCTTATGTTATTGCCAACTCAATAATTGTCATTTCCTCTCTCTTCATCCTCTTGCCAGGGTCTGCTCTAATAGTGTAGAGCATGCATCACGGTGCTGTTAGCCCACTCAAAGCTACCCACACTGTATACTGTGATGACCACAAAGAGACACATCATTGCTTTATCCAGTTTCTGTTTTTTTTTATTTGTTGGTTATTTATTCATGAAATTAAACCATCATAATGGGATGCACAGATAAATGAAAGAAAATAAAAAAATCAATGGCTCAGTTTGGATTTGTCCTAACAGAAAAAGCACGGAGCATTTCCAGCATGATGGCACACACACGCTGAACAAGCAGGGGTGTCAAAGTGCTGCAAAATGTCTGTTTTTGAAATTGTTTTGCAGCAGAAACGGGAAATTAGCTTAACATGACTATAATAAAGGGATTCCACCACAGTAGTAAACACACACACACACACACACACACACACACACACACACACACACACACACACACAGAGAGAGATAAAAGCTGATTAACCCAGCAGGATTGCAGCTTTCTACATTAACACGATGTAGCCTATAAACCACGTAAACGTACATCAGTGTGGTCCTTCTTGGTTTTGCAGCACCGACCCGAGACAACTTGCCCAACTCTGGTTCGGTTCAGGTGTTTTATGTAATCATGCGTTCCTCCTAAAACCTGAAGAGGTAAATTCATAATAAATGCTTTTTTAATTCTCTTTATCCTCCTCCCTCCTCTGTCTCCAATCCCCCACAAGATGCAGTCATGAGTCCTCCACGCCGATCATCGAGTTGCCATAGCGACAGGTAATTTCGTCAAGCATCTCCCTTAATGTGACACACTTATGGTACATTCAGTTCACCAGTCAGGATGCTACACATGAACGCATCCTGTTTTGGTATTTCTGGATTAGTTGACATGTTCATGAACACTTTGATGAGGAGAAAAAGCTGTTGAAGAATCATGTTTTTGTATAAATATAAACTTTAGCTGCGTAAAATAGCCCGTAGACACCATGCACAAATCAAGAAACAACATTTTGATCTGAGATTTTTTTGGCAGGAAAACAAGTCATATTTGGTTTATTTACTGTTGTCACGGTGAATTATTCTGTTGCTAAAGTTTGTTACCGGGTTTTACTACACGTCAAGCACTAAAATCAAAAAGTCCTAACTAATGTTATCTTTTTTACCTTTCTGTTGCAATTGTGCCAGATAAAGCAATTTAAAGGGGACATATGGCGTAAAACTTTGCTTTTGCATCCTTTTGTGCTGCCGTGGGGTCTCTAGCCTGGCAAGTCCTATCTGAAGTCTGGCCACGACCCACAGAGAAAGTTTAGTCGTGGAGCGAAATCTACAGTTTTCATTAAAACAGTCTCCGTATGCTATTGGACAACAAACAGCACGACTTACTCACCGCCACAGATGCCAGTCGACGGGGCAGAAATTCTACCTTTTTCTATGTTAACTCGTTCGCTGCCAGCCGTTTCCTGATCGGAAAAGTCGTTTGCTGACAGCGTTTCTCACCGTTTTTACTGTTTTTTTAAGAGTGACAGAACGTTGCGTGCCAGCATGATGTCGACGCCAAAACAACCAAAACAACCAAAACAAAGCGGAGACTCACCTCTTACATCAGGAAGAATCCGCACATTTCGAGCGTTATCCATTCTTTCATAATCCGTTGTTGAATTGTGATCGGCAGAAGCTTTTCCGGTTCGCGCCTCACTTTCTTTACAGCAGCGGCCCAAAACCATCTCCTAACACATGGATGTTCTGCTTCCTGATCACGTGACGTGTGACGTACGGAGATGAAGATCGGGTTTAGAGCTGAGATGTTTGTTCTCACGGTGCGGGGGCTCGTCCGACGCCCACACAGTAAAAAAAAAAAAGCAAACTGGCAGTGAAGGAGTTAAGGAATTGGAATGCTCCAATCATAGTTTTTTTTCTCCCGATCCGATTCCGAGTCATTTGATTTTAAGAATCTGCCGATACCGAGTCTCGATCCGATACTTTACAAATGCATTCATAAAAAGGGAGAACACACTAGAGTTTTTTCAAATCATCAATGCGTTTCTTTCTTTCTGTATTTATGTCATTTCTTTACTTTACCTGCCATAAAACTTCACTTGTCCAGCAAGTTCATTCATAAGAAACGTGTTAATATTAATATATGTAGAAATAGTCATTTACCATTTAAATGAATAAAAATGTATTAATATTAAGAATAAATGTAAAAGTACTCATATTTTAAATACTTACTCAGTGTGCGGCTGTTTTCAGCGATGGGGATTGCTCATGACGGTCAGGTGGTGCATCAGTGTGGAACGCAGTACCACCTTTTCCACCTTGTTCAACGCCCAGTTTGCACACATTACACGTGTTTAATTCACTCCCTTTGCTGTTCATTTAAAAATAAATCCAAATTACAGACCAGAGGTGAGAGCTATGCTCTGTGCTAGCTATCTGCTACGTGTGACGGTGTGTGAATTCCTGGTCTACCTTAAGTTGTGAGACTTACACGACGTCTTTGAAACAAAGAAAACTGATGTAGAGGAACTTGTAGAAATTAAAACTAAGCCATTGTTTTTCCATTTGAAAATATCTTTCTCAGGATGAATTAAGGAAGTAATGTTTGTTGTTTTATTTAGTTAAATCTGATTTTACCCACCGATTACCTAAAAAAATCACATTATCGGATTGGAGCATTCCTCTCAAAGACTTAAGTACTTCTAGCTGTTCTTGACTCAAAGCAAGTGTAAATAGTCGAGAGTTGATGCCAAAGCTGTTTGAAATCAGCTGCCACCATCTTGTACCGCTCCGTTGCATCATCCCACCCACAACACTGCTAGAGCGCTGTGATTGGTGTGCTACCAGACTGGTCAGGGTAGCAGGGGTTTCATAGACCATGGCTAGACCGACACGCTACTCTACTAGACTACTGTCTATCTAGATTCCCAGGCTTCTATACCCCCCCCCCCCCCCCCCCCCCCAAAAAAACACAAATGGGAAAAGTAGCATGGAACTCCTCTCACCTCTCTTGGCGGGAGGAGCAGTCCCTCCCAGGTATCGGAGCTTTGCTGCTTATTGCAGCCTGAGTTAGGGCGTGATGGGCGTGGCCTTCAGCAGCTTGTTATCTTTGAGTGACAGAGTGCTGCAATGGCTCATTCTGGAAGGTACTAAAATAATAAATCCGCTGAAATTGCTTTATAATAATAATAATAATAATAATAATAATAATGCATTGAACTTATATAGCGCTTTCTAGACCCCCAAAGACACTTTCACACACTCTCACATTCACACACAGCTAGTGATGGTAAGCTACATGTAGCTACAGCCGCCCTGGGGAGGTCTGACAGAGGCGAGGCTGCCATTTGGTGCCGTCGGCCCCTCTGACCACCACTAACACAGGCAAGTTGGGTGAAGTGTCTTGCCCAAGGACACAACAGCAGGATACCCCTGGCGGGAGCTGGAATCGAACCCATGACCCTCTGATCATGAGGCAACCCGCTCTACCACCTGAGCTACTGCTGCCCCAGATATGCTTTATATGAGAGGGATTTAGTGCAAAAACAATTGTATTGACCATTTAATATTATAAGTTGAGAAAAGTCATAATGCGTCTCCTTTAAGAGTCCCCTCAAAACACATTTTAAAAATTACTCAGGTCATACTGACTCTTCTTCAAATGTCCAAGATATTAAACAGTCAAGCCTGTAAAATGCCCTATTATTGTCTCATCTCTACCAAAGCTGCAGGTAAAATGTATGAATGAAGACTGGTTGTCGGTTAACAAAAACCTGTTGAAATGTCCCTTTGGCTAAGCTAGCATGTTGATGAGCAGATGCTGCGCTCCGTCATCCTTCAGGCCCTCCTCGGAGACCCTGCAGAAAAACAACAGCAGCAACTCTGGTGTGATCCTGGACATTTCCTCTCTCAAGATGGCTGATGTAGACACCGAGGTGCCTCCTCTTCCGCCTCGCTACCGCTTCAGGGACTTGCTGCTCGGGGACCAGACGTTTCAGAATGATGACAG